AAATTGGTAGACAAGGTAGAATTGAATGACCTCCACGTTCACCTGATTTCAATCCTAAAAATTATTTTTATTAGGGATACTTGAAAAATTCAGTTTACAAAACTTAACCAGCAAGTCTTGCAGAGCTAAGGCAACGAATTATCAATGAATCTCGAAAAATTTCTAGACAATCATGGAGAAATGTTGTAGACGCCTTCTACCATCGATTAGGATGCTTTCAACTCACAAATTGAGCACATTTTGAACACTTAATAACGTAACTACTATGTTAAAAAATGTTCTAAACTATCAATTGTTACGTTTTAATGTATTTGAAAATAGTTAGTATTAAAAAATTTATTGAAACAATTTAGGCGTTGCCAGACTTCGGTTTTATGTATTTATGACCTTCCAGATTACATAAAATCATAAGTGTTACATATGGTTGAACTCGTATTGAATAGGAGATTCCAATAATGACTGAATATACAGGGTCATGTATTTGAAAAACCAAAGTTACTAATAATATAAGAAAAACGACAAATCTGGCAACATTGTAAATATCAAATATGGAATCTCCGTATCCCAAAATAGGTGTACCTCAAATTTTGTACAATTATGATTCGCATTTTACGAGATAGTTGGCCGTTTCCAGACTTTTGGGCCACTCTGTATATAATATTTGAACAAACAAAACTAAAGGAAAAAGCAGTGTGTCATTGGTGTATTTGTTGCAGAAGATAAGAGCAAATACACTGCTGAAGAGGGGGATGAGACACTTCAGTTAATGTGCATTGATTTAATAAAAACTGTGATTTGACTGAACTTTATTCACACACACGTTACAGGTTGTTGAAAAATTTCGCCATTCTTTACACAATAAGAGGTGGGAAGTGGCGAGCAACAATACAATTGCCTTGAGGTAAATTTTCTTCTGGTTAGTCTAACAGTTTTTTTTTTTGTAGGGGCACGTAACATTTGTGTACGCATAAAGTAACCACACCAATATCTTTAACTCTATTGCCATTTTTTGTGACTTTAATATGACTCTTCTTTCATATATCTATTGGTTGTACTTACACCAAATCCAACCAATGATTTTTATCGTTGCTATAGACAAATTGTTTTATTCTTAAGCAATTACTCTCTATTCTTTCATTATCTTTTGAAATATCGCAATAAAGTCAAGTTATATTAAATCTGGAGAGTTTTTGGTTATTCTGTAAGGCAATGACCAATTTTCAAATGCTACTTTCAAGGTTTGAGTATAATTAATTTGGACAGTACTTTGCTACTTCCATATACGTTTGATTTCTTCGAATATGTAAAATCCAACAATTCCATCGAATGTATTTTTTTAATAAAACTGAATTTTGTCCCTTGTTTAAAAAAAAACCAAAGGGTAGGTAGTGGTGAGAATTTTACCTAAATGTTCTAAATCAGTATCATTACACATACGGTGCTGTCAATTTTTACTGTTATTGTATATATTCTTAGATTTTTCATTAATATTAACAGTGTTAACAAATTTTGTGTTATTAGTTACTGTTTAGTTTATTTGTTATAGTTACTATCTTGTCATTTTTACATAATTTATAAAGTAATGTATTAAAAATGTGAGAATTGATAAATTTTTGCTCTATTTACTATAAAACATAAGTTTGATCTGCTTATCTCACGCAACTTTAGTGCAAAACTATCAATCAAAATTGAAAAGACCACTAAATAAATGATGTAAGACATATTCAAAAATAAAAGAAGTTTTTAGACCACCAACAGGTGTATTTATTTTAAAATAAGTTAACCATTCCGTTCAGACATTCTGTAATAGTCCAGGCTGGATCAAGCAGATGCACAAATAACAAGATTTATAACATCCAAAGGATTAAAGCAAGGCTGTTGCTCGTCCCCCACTTTATTTAAAATATACCCCGAAAGTGCTTTAAAAAGGTGGAAACAAAAATGCAGGACAATGGGATATTGCTCATCAACACTATGGTATATATGCTCAACTTTGCAGACGATCACGTAATAATGGATCAAGATTATGACGATTTAAACTATATGCCACGAAAATTAATTGAAGAGTATGATATATGGGGTCTAGAAGTAAATAAAAAGAAAACCGAATACCTGTGCATTGGAGTAGAACAAAAATATCTCATATTAGACGATAACACCACGATAAAGCACTGCTGTGACTACAAATATCTAGGTATCACTATTTCAGGCTGTCAGGAAACCTCTGATCAGGGTGTGCAGCGGGTACAGAACTGTATCTACATTTGCCTTACAGGTGGTGGCTGGTTCTGTACCCGTGCACATCCTGGCCAGGGAGAGGCTCGAATGTATCAGCGGGGCGGTTGGTTCAGGGTCACAAGAAAGAGCCAGACACTTGGAGACGTGGCAGAGGGAATGGGCAGCCGAAGTCGAAAAGGCGGCCTAGACGAGGTCCCTGGTCCCAGATGTAGTGAGGTGGTGTGGGTGTCGGCATCGGCGCGTCAACTACTACTTCACGCAGTTTCTGACGGGGTACGGATCGTTTTGGAAATACACCCTTATAATCGGGATTTTGTTTCTGTATGATCTTTTCTCCATTAGTTGCCGGGCCATCCATGGAGTCTTACCTTCATCGATTTTGTGACTACTTAGCGTATCTTTAATTGGCATCATCAATGTGTTCTTAAATGTTTCAAATTTTTCGTTGGAATCTTCATTATCAATGATTTATTGTTTTGCTTAACTCTTCGTTAACTTTCAACGTTAGTTCTCCTTTTATATTCGGGTGTTTTAGCAGAGTGCTTATTTTTGTTCTAAATCTATTTTCTTGTGGCATTTTAAAATAATTACTATTTAAATGGGAATAAGCCACAATTAAAGGTTAAAGTACGTTTATTGACCTTTCAATTTCCGAAGTGGAAATTAAAGCGACAATAAACGTACTTTAACTTTTAATTGTGGCTTATTCCCATTTTAATAGTAATTACTTTAGAGTGCTTATTTGTTGTGTGTTTTGTTGATTTTTTATTGTCTTAAAGTGGATTTCGAATTTTACGATTACTGGATTGTGGTCTAATGACACATCTGTTCCTGTATATGTCTTTGCCGATTTGATTGAGTTACGGTATCTCTGGTTTCTGATATTTTTTTTGCTATTCGCAGGTGATTTCCATGTATACAATCTACGTGGTGGTAACTGAAAGAATGTATTTGTCGCTATCATTTCAAACTCTTGACAAAATTTCGTCAGCCTTTCCCCTCTTTCGTTCCTTATTACTAGTCCGAATTCACCAATAATGTCTTGGAATTTACCTTTTCCTCTTTTGGCATTAAAATCTCCCATTGTTATTGTTATATTTCTATTATTGGTGCGGTCGAGTGATTTTTTAATGTCATTGTAGAACTCTTCTATTTCATTTTCATCTTTGTCTGCAGTGGGGTCGTAGACCTGTATGATTTTGTATACATTTAATTTTTTAAATGGTACATATACTTTATACTTAATATTGTTCTGAAGCTATTTTCTTGTGGCATTTTAAATTTATTACTATTTAACTAGGAATAAGCCACAATTAAAGGTAAAAATACGTTTATTGACGTTTCAATTTCCACTTCGAAAATGGTTCTCAAAATACAAACAGTAAATTAAACAAATTTTGTTTTTTTGTTACTTAGTGAAAAATTCTTCTAATAATTTAATTTTATCTGACTCATTTATATTGAAAATTCAGACATACATTATACATTTTAAAGTAGACGACTTTGAAATGATATTGCCAATATTGTTGAGTTGCGCTCCTGGGACAACTTTACTTATAAGATAGTTCATTCGATTACATGAAATCAACTTTAACTTGAGAATATCCGTCAGAAAATGAACAAGAAAGGACAAATAATTCCATTTATAAAATACCTTGTAAATGCGATCAGTTTTATTTAGGTGAAACATCAAGGCCATTAAATGTTAGAATAAGTGAACATCAATCTTATATTAAAAACAGAGAATTTGATAGATCTCAAATATGTAAACACGCATGGGATAATGAACATAGGGTTCAATGGAATAAGTCAAATGTAGTCCTAAAAGAAACGGATGGTAAAAAAAAGAAAAATCAAAGAAGCGGCTCTAATTATGCTAAATGAGACCAATTGTGTCGCAAATTCCTCGGCAGAATGTAGTAGGATCTGGTTACCAATATTGAAAAAGGAAGTTATTAATAAGAAAATATCAGTATTAGTAAGTCAGTAACATAAGAGGATACATCATTTATGTTTTTTAAATAACGAAACATATAAAATCAGACTTTGGTGTTTATTGAAGGTAAACTAAATGCACGACCAAATACTTATCATGTCGAGATAGTATTATGAGGTTTTTTTTCCTGGTTTTTTCCCTCATAATTTACTATGGAATCACTAACAGGAGAATTTTACTGTCATCATGTCATGTGTTTGTCTCTTTAAAGACGAATTACATGCTATGATTTTTTTCTGACTGATATTCTCAAGTTAAAGTTGATTTCATGTAATCGAATGAACTATCTTATAAGTAAAGTCGTCCCAGGAGCGCAACTCAACAATATTGGCAATATCATTTTAAAGTCATCTACTTTAAAATGTATAATGTATGTCTGAATTATCAATATAAATGAGTCAGATAAAATTAAATTATTAGAAGAATTTTTCACTAAGTAACAAAAAAACAATCTTTGTTTAATTTACTGTTTGTATTTTGAGAACGATTTCCGAAGTGGAAATTGAAACGTCAATAAACGTATTTTTACCTTTAATTGTGGCATATTCCAGTTAAATAGTAATTTACTTTATACTTGTATGGTTCAAAAGGTCAATAAATTATATTATTATTATCAATAAAATAAGATATTCCAATTTTAAAAATAAAAAATTATAAAGATCACGAAATAGATCAGAATGGAGTGAAATGATGATTGTAAGTGACTTTCCCTTAGATAATTGCCCAAATTCTTAATTTTTTTACCATTTATAATACTGTTTTCTTTCCAAAGTCCAACTTTAATAAGTGTACACAATAGGACAGACAAATAATAAATACATCTGTGTAATTATAAAAAAATACTGATTTTTTCAGGTAAATTTGTAAATATTTTGACGAAAATGGCCAGCAGGACGGTCCTTATAAGAACTCATACTTGATCTTCTTGATCTTCTTTTTTCTCGTTCTTCTAAGTCAGATGCAGACATCCCGCTAAAATAGAGAATAATCATTTTTAGTCGACATAGTAATGGAACACATATATGTAAGGATTGAGTTTACTGAAAGTACAAACTGATTACAGTAGAACCCCTCATATCCGACCCTCACGGGACCGGGCCGTGGTCGGAACGGCCAAAAGGTCGGATATGCCGAGGAATAATAAAACACGTTTTTCGGGTAAAAAAGCTGTATATTGCACTAAACTATTAGTACCAATTAGTACAGAACTGTACAAAATACCCACTCAATACACATATGTAGTGCTCATTTTTATATTACAGTAACAACGAAAAATATTATAAATACATAAAGTACTGTACTGTTTAATCAAAAAGACAAACAGTTAGAAGAAGTCCTTAATACTCTTTTGCTTCAATTTACCCAATCTTGATTTAGCTGAAAAAATCACGCCATTTTTTTGTCCACAACACGTTCATAGGTGTAGCTCTCGGATCCTGCTCCAAATATTTCAACACTACGTCAAATGCGTCTTTAGCCTCTGAAGGCGTCACTCCAGTATCACGATCAACTTCTTCTTCTTCTGCGTCGCTGTCTTCATTATTTGCGCTTTGAACTGCAGCAACTATTTCGTCATCATTGAGTTCTTCATTTGTAGACTCAGCCATGCCAGCTTCGGTCAGCCATTCCTCCACATCTGTCAGCTGCAGCTGGACACCGTGTTGCAGTTCCTGCAGGTCTTGAAGAGTTTCTGTGATGTCGTTTTCTTCAGCTTCAACCTTTTCTTCAGGTCAACTTCCATTGATGATGTGGGCTCATCATCGTCCTTATCAGCACTATCGCTTTTTTTTAATGATGGCCAAATTTTCTTCCACGATTTTTGAAGAGTTGTCTCTTGATTTCCATCCCATGCTGAAGAGGCGGTATAGATGGCGTCTTTTATGTTAAACATCTTCATGGCCTCCAATAGTGAGCAGCCTCCTTCTGTTTTGTCCAAAAGAGACCCGACATATTTTTTCCGGTACCGTCTTTTTACCCCACTCGATTACAGCCTTGGTCCATTGGCTGGATTAATGGGGTGACATGTGGAGGTAAAACATCGCTTTTATGTTGCCTTTCTTCAAGTCATGCTCTGGGTGATGGCTTGGTGCATTATCCAGCAACAACACAGCTCGAAGTGGCAGGTTTTTTTGATTTTAAATTGTTTTTTAACAGCGGGCACGAATTCAAGAAAAAACCATTCTTTAAAAAGAGCACAATCCATCCAGGCGATTGATTACGGTAATACACGGGGAGTGTTGCCATATTGAGATTTTTAAAAGCTCTCGACTTCTTAGATTTGCCGATAACAAACAACGGCAGTTTGTGACTGCCACTGGCGTTGCTACATGTAGCAATTGTTAGTCTATCCTTAGCTAGCTTTGTACCCAAAACAGGCTCATTTTTAGAAGCAAGAGTAGATTTTGGCAACATTTTATAGTTCAGTCCGGTCTCGTCTTTTGAAACTTTTGAAACTTTTCTACAAAATCTTTTGCAGCATCGTCATCAGCAGACAACTTTTCACCCGCAATAACAACGTGTCTAATGGAAAGGCTCAACATCTCCTCCCAATTTTTCAAAACAGCTTTACGGCTTTTTCTTTTACAAGAGGCCCCGACAAAGGAGTCCCTTTTCGCCGTTCTTGGCAAAACCAAACCCAAAGAGCTTCGTCAACGAGTTCTAACTTAGGTTTTTTTTAACATTTTCCGATTTTTTAAGAGCATCTTCCGTTTCAACGGTCATAGAATAGGTTTCGATGTCTTTACGGTTTTTTTCTCCAGTCTTTAACTGTTGTCACGCCGACCCCTAGCTCTGCGGCTAATTTTACAAGTGACTCACCACGGTCCAATCGTTGGAGCACTTCAAGTTTTTGTTTAAGAGTAACGCACACACGCTTACGTTTTTGAGTAGCCATAGCAAAGATTGTACATACAACAATCACGAAAACAAAACAGTCAAAACAAAAGTATGTAGAGCAACGTTTACGTCGACAATCAGAACGCAACTGGCCGTTTAACAGAGAGAGAAACAATGCACAGCGCTGCTGATGAATCTTGTTTCACATTGAGGACTTGTCCGCCGGCAAACCGGCAAAAGACGGTCGGGCACATGGTCGGATATCCCGAGGAATCGGATATCCCGAGGAATCGGATATCCGAGGTCGGATATGAGGGCTTCTACTGTATATACATTTATATATATTATAGACATTTTTTTAGCAATGCCCCTTTGATATATTGGGGATAGATTTAGTAAAGAATGTAGACGAATATGCGTCTATATAAGTTTGTGTTCAAATTTTCTAACTATCTCAGGGTTTCGTAGTCTGTTCACTTCGAATTTATCTTCTTGGCTTCCTTTACCTTTTTTGCGTTAGATATTCGTGCCCTTAGTTTAGCCTGGACCAGGTAGTGATCAGAGTCAATGTTTCTCTACGTCGGTACATACATTCATAACATCGCTGTAATGTCTTGCGTCCACAACAACATGGTCAATTTTGATTAATTGTGTTAACGTCTGGGTAACCCAAGTGCCTTTGTGTATATTTTTACGCTCAAAGCATGTGCTGGCTATCACCATATTCATTGAAGCCGCAAAGTGTATTAAGCGTGTTCCATTGTTGTTCGACTCGTTATGGAGGCTATATTTTCCAATGGTTGGTAGGCAATCGTTTTCTTTTCCTATTTTGGCGTTAAAATCTCCAAGCACTATTTTTATATCATTTCTAGGGCAGATCAGTTTAATAATAAATGAACATTCCTAAATACCTAAGTTGTATTTTTTCGATAAGGAGGCATCATCATCATCAGTTATTTCATTTCCCACAGAAATAATAATTGGTTCTATTGTTTCCTCTTTTAACATATCGAGTTTCCAGAATATTCCTTTCTCTGCTATGACACGTCTTATAGCTTTTTGACAATGGTCAGATGAAATTTTTCATATGGAGTCAGATGAAAGATGGAGAAGTTTAAATGTTTTATTTCCCGTGACATATATCCCTTCATTTGAGCCCAGATTAGTTCTATGGGGTTAAGTTAACAGTGTCAAGGTGGTAATCACAACACTTTAATTACATATTCTTTTGGTTATTAGCCAATCCAAGAGCTATTGCTTTCTCCCTTTAGTGTAAGGTAACGGTTCCTTTAATCTTGAATGGTAACTGGCATTGTCCATGACTATTACAGAATTGGTCGGTAATAAATATTCCTCAAAAACATCAGCAGTCATTTCTTCACGGTAGTCGTTCATAGAATTTGAAATACAATCTAGCAAGCCTCCATCAACAAATCCTTTATCTTCTTCAATATGAGTGATAATTAAACGATGACCTTTACCGTTTGGTCAGTTTTGGTATTTCTAGCCAGTTTATCTTGCCAAACTTTATTACAAAATGCCCTTCATTTATCCATGTTTCATCTAAATAAAAAATGTTTTTGCCTTCTCTTCTCAATTTTCGAATTTCCCTTAAATACTGGTTCGACTATCTTCAGGAAATAGTATTTGTATATATTGTAAACTATTCCTTTGGATTCTGGTGTCAATCTGATATGTTTACTCGTACTACACTTCATCATCTCCATTCTACAAAATAGTTCTAATACGCATAGTAGCACCTTTCTTATTGAGACTCGACAACATAATGAGTAGCTATAACATTGATCAGAAATGGGAAAATATAAAAGTAGCAATAATTAAAACAGCAAATGAAAATTTAAAACCAAAGAATAGAAAACATAAAGACTGGATGACTGAAGAAATACTACTATTAATGAATGAAAGAAATTATTCAAAACAAAAAATCCAATTAAATATAATGAAACTGATCGATTAATTAAAAAGAGAATAAAAGAAGCTAAGGAGAGAATGATACATAAGCAGTGCCAATGACTAGAAGAAATTGAGAACAAATATGACTTTTTTAATATGCATTAAATAATTCGAGAATTAACAGGAATGAAAAAAACATTTCAAACTAGACAACTAAGAGATGAAAGGGGTGCACTTATAACAGATATAAACCAAAAAATGCAGAGATGGACACAATATATAGCACAACTTTTTGAAGACAAAGAAAGAACAGAAGCACCAATATAATTTAAGGATGATACTGGGCCTGACATTATACGAGAAGAAATTGAATATGCAATGAAACAAGCTAAAGGTGGTAAATCTCCCGGGCCTGATGAAGTTCCGATCGAATTACTCAAAATTTTGAATACTGAATCTATTGATCTTCTTTTGGATCTATTCAATACCATATATAGAACAGGTATAATACCTAACGAATGGCTCCAATCAATATTCATACTGCTTCCAAAAAAGCCAATGCAAAGGAGTGCAATGAACATCGCACCATAGCTTTAATGATTCATGTCTTGAAATTGTTTTTAAAAGTAATTCACAATAGAATACATAAGAAATTAGATGAAGGCATAAGTAATACACAAATGGGATTTAGGAAAGGGACTGTGGAAGCCACAGAGATGCACTATAGCTTTCTGATTAAGATTGACAAGTCTATTAAATATAATAACACAGACAGTAGACATTAGAATCATATTTCACCTCTATTGGAACCAAACAGCAAAGTGAAAGTTGAAAATGAACTGACCGAGGATATCAGATTCGCCGTGGAGTCCGCCAAAGGTGTATTTTTCACCCTTGTTATTCAATTTATACAGTGAAGCCATCTCAGAATTAGCGCTTGCCGAGATCAGTGGGGGCTTATAATAAACGGTGAGCCACTTAATAACATAAGATATGCTGACGACACCGTCCTTCTGGCAGGAACACTAGAAAAACTGCAACACCTTGCTGAACAACTAAATGTATATTGCAACGATTATGGACTAAAAATAAATTTGAAGAACACCAAGTTCATGGTATTTACAAAAGCACAAAACATCAAAGTTAAGCTAGTACCAGATAGTACAGAAATTGAATAAATATCTTCGTACAGATACCTTGGAGCATGGATCACAGAAGATACTGATCAGACAAAAGAAATAAGATGCCGCATTGAAATTGCACGGTCAACTTTTAATAGAATGAGAAAACTGTTTTGTAATCGCGATATCAATATATCGCTCCGGATAAGAATGCTTCGATGTTATATTTTCTCCACCTTTTTGTGTGGGGTTGAAGCTTGGACACCTAAGTGTCCAACATTAAAAATCTAGAAGCATTCGAAATGTGGTGTTACCGACGTATTTTGAGAGTATCATGGATGGATCGCAAAACAAACGAACAAGTTCTCGAACAACTAAGAAAACAATGCGAAGTTTTAAACTCCATAAAAATCAGGAAATTGGAATACTTGGGGCACATCATGAGAGGTGAAAAATACGAACTACTAAGAAATATACTGCAGGGTAAAATCAAAGGCAGAAGAAGCGTAGGAAGACGTAAAATCTCGTGGTTACGCAATCTCCGTGAATGGTTTGGATGCAGTTTAATTGAACTATTCAGGCGCGTAACCAACAAAATTATAATTGCCAGAATGATTTCCAATCTCTGATAGTAGTGGAACTTGAAGAAGAAGAACATAATAAGACTAAATTACGAACTCTTTTGAAATCCAGTGACTAGAAATTCTCGGAAATAATTCTTATCAGTTCTGTGTATGTCCTTAACAAGTCGCTAAGGAGTCATTAATAATGACTTTATAATTACGGTTTTAAGGTAACTGATACTAAATTAGAAATTAACTTTTACCAAACTTTATAGAGTATCAATTATTAAAGATGGTATTATAACAGACAAAAAGTTTGGTATCTATAAAACAATTTGTGTACAATAAAACTCTATTAATTATTTAAGTGAGTAATAATTTTGTAATTAGTGCGATTTCAAATAATTTAATTTATTTAATATTGCAACGCCACTGCATGAGTCTGATCATAGATATTCTATTGTCCGCGGGATTAATTATTTCGTGGAAGGGATCGCCACTCGATTTGAAATAAGCTGTATTAGCATGTATTAGTAAATTATTAAGCAGATACTTGTACATAATTATCGCTGTAAACTGACGTTGAATACAAAAGAAGATTTATTTATGATAATTGACAGAATGGGCGAAAAACAAAAATAAAATATATCCTTATAAAACTAATAATAATTATAAAGTTAAGTACAGTTAAAACAATTAACAAAAATTGAATTGTGACACAATAATAAATAAATAATGCCGTCCGAGAAAAAATATCCTATCCTATAAAAAAAAAAATAAAGCGCTATCAAGTTTATTTTTAAAGATGTTAACACTAGCTGCCGATATGGTGTCTTGATCCAAATTGTTCCAGATATTAAAGATTCTGTTTGGCAAGAAGTTCACCCTGGACCTTGCAGTAGTTTGTTCCCTCTTTAATTTGTATCGATGGCCTCTTAATCTTTCGTCTTGATTCAAAGTGAATATGGTGTTTAGGTTCCCAAAATTATGTTTTAAAATACGGAAGGACATAATTAGGTCACCTCGAAGACGTCGCTGCTCGAATGTCGTAAGATGAGCCATGAATAGTCTATCTTCATAGTTAGGTCTTACACGGCCGTATGCCAGTCTTGTGGCTTTACGCTGAACGTTTTCAAGTAGGATTTTATCGCGACTGAGATCTGGATTCCACACTGGTCCGGCAAACTCAAGAATAGGTCTAACGTATATTGAGTAAAGTTTACTAACAGAGGTTAGAGATATGCGTGCAAAACATTTACGGATCAAAAACAGTTTCGAGTTAGCACGTTTACACACCGACACTATGTGATCAGACCAATTTAAGTCACTATTAATTATCACTCCGAGATCGTTGTGTGAGGTTACAGAGTTTAAAGGATGTCCATTAATAAAGTACGGCAGTGATGGGTTATTTTTGCCGATATTATAACAACCATTTTTCAATGTTAAGCGGAAGTAACCATTCTGAGGACCATTTGAATATTGCGTCAAGATCTTGTTGAAGAATATGTTGGTTAATAGTTGGATTCACATATAACTTAGTGTCATCAGCGTAAATGGAAACCTTACTGGATACAATGAGCGGAAGATCACTAGTGTAGACACAAAAAAGTAGCGGTCCAAGTACTGATCCTTGTGGAACTCCACTCTTGACTGGCTTATCTAGTGAGTGGTCTTCCCCAACACGAACCCTGAAGTATCTGTCGGATAGAAAATCTTGTATCCAAATGTTTAATTTTCCGCGGATACCATAGTGATCCAATTTAGCTAGTAATCGACGTTTTGGAACACGATCGAAAGCTTTGGAGAAGTCTAAGTAAACTACATCGACAGGATTCCGATTGTTTAAAGATAATGACCAATCATTTACACAATGAAGTAAGTTTGTGATCGTTGAACGACCTTTGATAAATCCATGCTGTTGGTGAGGGATGACATTTTCTTGAAGAAGGAACTCGGACATAGCTTCCGAAATAATCGATTCCATGACCTTGCTGACAATAGGAACCAGGCTGATTGGACGATAATTATTGCAATCAAGTTTATTACCTTTCTTGAATACAGGAGTAACTGAAGCCAATTTCCAGGACGAGGGGAGGGAACCTTGATTAAAAGAAGCAGTCATTATGAGAGATATAGGGATGGCTACAGAATCTGCACATTGTTTGAGGAAAAAAGAGGTGAGTCCGTCTAATCCAGGTGATGAATTATTTCGCAGTTTCCTTAAATAATGTTTAATTTCATCCGTTGTGAAAGATATATTGTCAAGAGTTTTAGGACAAACGAGGGCACATTATTTGAGGAATGGTATCGTTAGATTCATCTGTAAAAACTTGAGAAAAGAATAACGATAAACATTCCGAAGATTCGTTATTCGAAGAACATAAAGACCCATCAGCTTTTTGAAGCAATGGTATGGAGACTTTAGAAGATAAAGATGTACGAATGTACCGATAAACTTTTTTACTATTACCACTTGCAATGATAGATTCTTCAAATTCTGTTCTTAACTTTAGCAAAGATTGTTTGACTCGGTTAGAAAAATTACGGTGGGCGAGAAAATCATCAGGGGAACCAGTGAGTTTATATCTTCGCCAAAGCTTTCGCTTATGTCGAATTAAATGAGTAGCTGAGAGGTTATCCAAGGTTTTAGTCGATTTCTATATACCTGCCGTTCGGTTGTATGATCAGAAATTGTTTGTAATAGCAGTATGAAGAAAAGAGTCCCACATTGACGATGGATCAGAGTGATTAGGAAAAATAGATTGCCAGTTTAACTGGGATAAAACTGAATTTACATCAAAGAAATTAGTAGTGGCATACGTTACGAAATTATTTTTGCAAGGCGGTGTTAAACTAAATTGAATGTGAGCAGTAATAAGCGAGTGGTCAGAAAGACCCACAGGAGAGGACACTTCAAGTGTAGAAATTAATTCATCGTCATTTGTGAAAAATAAGTCTAAAATTGAAGGATTATTGTTAGCTCTAAACCTTGTAGGTTCAGTTATCAGTTGTAATAAATTTGGGTTCATGATAAAGTTTTTAAACAAATTTTGGGAATTGATAGTATCAGTTTTGGAAATAATGGGCCAGCTTATTTCTGGAAAATTGAAATCTCCAACAACAATGAGATTTTCAAGGGATGATAATTCATCAAGTTTGTTAATAAGCATATTGTTTCCTGAATAAGTATAATAAATATATAAAAAGTTTTTAGTAATAAGTAAGTGGATAATTTCTATACCGGGTACGTCTATTGTTTTATTACTGATGGAAAAAGTGTTGGTAATTTCATTTGCTAAATAGATGCATACTCCTCCCCCTCGACGAGTACCTCTGTCTCTACAAAATATAGTAAAATTATCAATGTTTACAATAGCATCGGGAATAGAAGAATTAAGCCACGTTTCTGTTATGGAATAATGTGAGGTGTTAAAAGTTGAACAGTACTTATAAATTCATTAAATTTGGACATAAGAGAGTTTAGATTCGTATACATAAGAAGCCAATCAGTAAATTTTAGTGCAGAAGAATTATGAACGAAATTTCATTATCTTTGGACAGCCATTCACATATTTAATCGTAAGGTCATTTTCTCCATTATTTTTACGAGTTTCAAGCTCAGTACGAAGTTCCTTTAAACGAAGTTGCTGCATGGGTGTCTTGTCATCAATAACAGAATAAGTTTCAGTAGATTTGGTTTCCAAAAGTTTATTGTTGTTACGAAGAATTTTTCGAGTGTGGTGTTCAGAACTCATTATCAGTTTTATCATGCGGGGATAACGTTTATTTTGATTTGGTTTACCGACTCTATAAAATGTAACAGGACTTTCTTGGCATCCAATGGACTTCTAGGGCTAAATGTATTTTATTCTTATCATGATCTTTTTTATTTTGTGCGTCTAATGTAGGTTCGGGGACGCCTCTAACCAAAAAATTTTTGGAACGAGATATGCCGGTCAGCGGCTTCATTGACAATGCTGTCGGTAAATTCTGTTGTTGTAATAGAATCGAGTTGTAAATATGGCAAACCCGCATGTAATTTAAAATTACACTAAATATAACGTTTGAAACGCAGTTATAGAGAGGTTATGTACAATTTCTAACAATTCTGTAGGCATTGTTTCGATGAAGTTTGATTTAATTTTGAAATAGACAGAAATTTAAAATGTCACAATTAATAAAATAATAACTAGACGCGTTGTTTTTGGTTTCTCAAGAAATAATAATAAAATATGTAATAAAAAATTACATAATATATTTCAATAGAACGTTTGATCAACAGAAAAACAGTATATAAAAAGACTGCGAAATTCGTAGAATTTGTATTGTAGCAACTCGCACGTCGTGTCGTCAAAGAATGTTTCTCTTTTCCGATCGGATATAAGTATAATATTTCAGTATTGTAGGTAGAAAAGAACAAAAATTTACAAGGAAATAAGATCTATTGATATACCAGTGAAAATATTATTTTAAGGTGTTATAAGGAGAAATGGCTTTTTACCTTATGGATTCAGATATATCATCTTCCATTTCATTCGACAAACCCAAACTTCTTAGCTTCGCTTCTTTTCGTTTTGCGTCTTTTTTACCGCTTCTCCAGTTCTTAAAGAAACTAAAGAATCCCTTACTTGATTTCCTTCCATGATCCTAAAAATTTTAAATAAAAGTATTTCTGTCAAATCCTAATTGTAAATTATAAATAAGTATGTAATAATAAAAAAAGAAATTTATATGAAAAGTCATATCTTTTGTATAGTTAAACCTGTGTAACATCTAATGGGATGATTGTGAATCAATAACCTGGTATAGATAAGGTTTTGCTAAGTTAGATTTTCTAGGATTTTAAAAGAGATACAGAACAGAGTGTAATAGTTACAATTGTATTCCTTTTCTAGACGTAATCGATAAGATACTCGTTAGAATAATCAGAAACAGATTTACAAATACATGAATAAATGAAAAGACTGGTGAATACCAGATAGGGCTCAAAAGATGCAGATCTAACTTACAACTGATTTTTGTGTAAAAAATGAAACACATATAAACAACAATTAAACTCAAACCTGCTATTTGTCGTCGATTAAACGATAATTAGATTGGTTATAACGACATTAACAGGACACTCTTTTGTTCTGAAATATATCACCAAAATCGGTCAACGACATAGAATGCGAAAGCCAAGTGAGATCAACATCCTCATCATCATCATCAACCTGTATGCTTCCACAGCTCTTTCCATCTGTCTTTGTCTTGTGCGGCTTGCATCCAGTTACTGCTAACATGCTTCAGGTCGTTAGTTCATCTGGTTGGTGGGCGTCCTCTGCTCCGAAGTGCTGCTTGTCTTGGTGTTCTGCCCAATTCCATTTTCGCGACGTGATTTTTTCGATAGCGTCTGCTGTTTTTGTTCTACGACGTATTTCTTCGTTTGGGATTCGGTCTCTTAGAGAGAGACCCAACATTTGGCGTTCCACAGCCTCTGAGTCAGGCGAATCTTATTCACTACCTTTTTTGTTAATGCTATTGGTGCGCCCAACCAAATTTGCACAAAATTGCACAAATTTATGTTTAAAAAATCCTGTAAGATCATGGTTTGCCAACATATGTTGGTTACATTGGATAGGAAACATTCATGTTAATGCACGATATTGCTCGACCACATGCCGCTCCATAGTGAGTAATTATCTTGATGAAATCCAAATTCGAAGATTGGATTAGCCACTGTTTAGCCCTGATTTAATCCAATAGAGCACATTTACCCATTTAGTACATAAGAGAATTGAAAAACATGGTAACCAAATTCCAAGCAATTTCTAATAGAGTTATCTATATGGTAATAAAACTAAATCGTAGATACAGCATTCAAATAATCCACTGTTATGCACCAACTTCTTCTGCAGATGATGAAGAGGTTTAGAACAACTTTATGAAGACATTACAAGAGCCAGAAACCTAGAGAAAAACATATTACGTAATAATTACGGGAGATTTCAATGCTAAAATAGGAAAGAACGAAAATTACAACGACAACGAATATATTGGAATTTTGGACTGGAAGTAGAAATCACAGGGGAGATATGCTCGTAAATTTCCTCAGCAAAGAAAAACTATTCTGCTTAAATACCTTCTACAAGAAAAAGATGCAGAGAAAATGGACGTGGTTAAGCCCAGATGGCAAAGTAAAAATGAAATTGACTTTATACTCTCTAACTTCAAAAACATTGCTAAAGATCTTACTGTACTAAATTCTTTCAACACTGGTAGTGATCATCGATTAGTTAGGACGCGAATAGAAATAAATACGAAATTAGATAGAAGAAAATTATTAACACAGGATAAATTGCCAAACATAGAAGCACTCGAAATGAATCAAGAGGAATATCAAAGTGAACTAAAAAAGAAACTAGGACCTCTACCAGTATTCAACACGAAAGATATAAATGAAATAACACAAAAATTAACGAACGACATAACATCAACTGCAAAAAAGATCTGTGATAAAAATAAAAAATCCCAGAAAAACGAAACTGAAACAAACAACACTTAATTTAATGGAAGAAAGAAGAAGAACATCGAAAGAATTACCAGAGTATAAAGCTATCAACAATAAAGTTAAAAAGAGCATAAGGTCAGACTTGCGGGCTTATAAAACAAAACAAATATTGCAAACCATCGAAAACAATAGAAACATGAGAGTATTGAAATCAAATTTAACTAAAGGAAAATCAAATATAACTAAAATCAAAAATCAACAGGGGAATACGGTGACCGAAAAAACTCAAATAATCAAGGAAATACAAACGTTCTATAAGAATCTTTATACATCTACTATACAGAACCCCGAAACAGACCACAGAACAATTCTAAACGTCGGCTCGGAAACCCTCCCTAAAATAACCTCTTCGGAAATTAGACATGCCTTACAGCAAATGAAAAACAAAAAAGCTCCCGGCGAGGATCGTATAACGTCTGAAATGTTAAAAATGGGCGGCAACATCGTTGTAGAAGTTGTGGAAGTCTTACTGAATAAGTGTCTAACAGAAAAAAGAATACCCAGCCTATGGGAAAACGCCGAAATAATACTTTTACACAAGAAAGGAGACACTACTAATATTGAAAACTACAGACCTATAAGTTTGTTGTCACACTTATACAAATTGTTAACAAGAATAATAACCAACCGCATAACACAAAAACTTGATTTATATCAACCGGTTGAACAGGCGGGATTTAGAAAAGGGTTTGGTGCTAATGATCACTTACAAACCATCAGAACACTAGTAGAAAAAACCACAGAATATAATGTACCTTTACATATGGCATTTATCGACTTTCACAAGGCTTTCGATAGTATTGAGACTTGGTCCTTTTTGTCAGCCCTGAAGGATGCTCGAATAGACTCACGGTACACTACACTCATTAAAAACATTTATGAACAGGCCACATTCCACATCAAAATCAATGAAGAAGAAAAAACTGAAAAAATGCGCCTTGATAAAGGTATTAGACAAGGTGATACTATTTCACCAAAGCTTTTTACCTTAGCATTGGAAAATGTATTCAAACAGCTTGACTGGGAGGAAAAAGGTCTAAACATTGATGGTGTACGTTTGAGTCATTTGAGGTTTGCGGATGACATAGTATTATTTAGTACAGATATCAAGGAACTGGAGCAAATGTTGAAGGAATTAAACCAGCAGTCAAATAAAATAGGTCTCAAAATGAACCTTCAGAAAACAAAAATAATGAGTAATTTACAAACTAATCTTGTTATTGACAACGTCAGTCTTGAAAATGTAGACCACTATATATATATCTTGGACATACCATTAAAATCGGCAAAGAAAATCAAATAGCCGAAATAAAAAGACGCATACAACTGTCTTGGGGAGCTTTCGGCAAATTAAGCTTTATTTTGAAGAATAAAGATATACCAATGTGTCTAAAACGTAGAGTTTATGACAAATGTATCTTGCCTGTAACTACATATGGACTGGAGACCATGGCCTTCACAAAGAAAACCTTAGAGCAGCTCAGTACAACCCAAAGAGCAATGGAGAGGGCCATGCTAGGGATTAGTTTGAGAGACAGGATTCGAAATAACGTCATTCGTGAAAGAACAAAAATTACTGATGTCTCAGAACGTATTGCAAGGCTCAAGTGGCAATGGGTCGGACACGTTGCCCGAGATAATCCCGAAAAATGGACACAAAGATTAACAAACTGGAGACCAAGAGAGAACAGGCGAGGAGTAGGCAGACCGCAGAAGAGGTGGACAGACGATATCAAACAAGTCGCGGGCAAGCAGTGAATGAGAATTGCCAAAAGTAGAAAATCGATGGAAGCAAAATGGAAGACGCCTATGTCCAGCAGTGGACGAACACAGGCTGAAGAAGAAGAGCACATGTGAAATCACCTAAAACGCCACATACTACAAAGAAATCCCGTTTCAAATACGATAGAACAGTTTCGGCTTGCTGCACAGTATGAATGGAATGCAATTTCCCAAGGATATGTCCAAAATTTACTTGCAAGCTTCCCGAGAAGGATGCAAGCTGTCATAAGAGCTAGTCGAGTGGAGCTGTTATCGAGTAAAATAAGTTATTAAAATGTATGCACTAATTGTTTATTGCGCACTAGTATATTAGCCTGTTATTTTAATTAATTTCAGTTTGCTATTTTTTTACCGATTTTTATTGCTTATTTCTCTCATTGTTCAAATGTAACAAAAAATCTTAATAGTAAACATTTTGAGAATGTCTGCTATATTCCTTTTTACATCGAAAGTTTATTTTGCTACATAGAAAAATTATCTTACCTTGTCTTCCTCATATTCAGACGGGTCACTAGGGATACGTGATCTTTGAGAAGATCGTCGAAGTTTCTTTTTTTCCTGTTTGATAATATTTTCAAACACAGCTGTAGGCTCTCCACTATAACGAATTTGTTGCCTAAAATCAAGAGCGTTTAATTTTTTAATACTTTGTAGATAATTTAAATATTATTTTATATGGGCGTTACAGTCTTGTAAAATATAGCCAAAACATATTTATTTCTTAATACGGCCCTAATATACAGAGTGGCCCAAAAGTCTGGAAACGGCCAATTATCTCGTACATTGCTAGTTATAATTGTACAAAATTTACGGTACACCTATTTTGGGATAAGGAAATTCCATATTTAATATTTGCAATTGTTGCCAGATTTGCCATTTCTCTTTATATTATTAGTAACTTTGGTTTTTCTAATTTATCACCCTGTATTATTCAGTCATTATTGGAATCTCCATTCAATACAAGTTTCAACCATAATGTAACACTTATGATTTTATGTAGTTTGGAAGATCTTAAATACATAAAACATAAAGTCTGGCAACGCCTAATTGTTTCAATATTTTTTTTAATACTAACTATTTTTAACTACATTAAAAATGTAACAATTAATAGATTACAACTTTCTTAACACCAATGGTTACTTTTTCAAGTGTTCAAAATGTGCTCCATGTGAGTTGACAGTACTCTAATTGATGGTAGAATGCGTCTACTACATTTTTCAATGATTGTCTAGAAATTATTCGAGATTCATCGATATTTGGTTGCCTTAGTTCTGCGAGACTTGCTGGTTCAGTTTTGTAAACTGAATTTTTCAAGTATTTCCAATAAAAAGAATCTTTAGGATTGAAATCAGGTGAACGTGGAGGCCATTTAATTCTATCTCGTCTACCAAGCCATCGTCCGAGAAATACCTCTTCCAAATAACGCCGAACATTTCCACCAAATTTTGTTAAAATTATGACAGGCAATTTACAATTTACGAATTACGAATTTACTAGATATATACCGATCAGTTAGACCCAAAAAAGTTATGAATGACAACAAAACAAGATATGCAAAGTTTTGTTGAAGATCCACATACATCCTCACACAGGGTTGCACAAGTACATGATGTAGGTCGTTCTTCAGGCTTAAGTGTATTACATAAGAATATTTTTAAATGATACAAAATTAACTTATTGCAAGAATTAAGTAAAGATGACTTCGATCGTAGGTTAGAGTTTACTGAGGTAATCATGGATAAAATAAAAAATGATACAAATTTCGTTAACAGAATATTTGTTTTTCCGATTGAAGCAGCCTTTACACTGTGTGGAACTGTAAATCGACACAATTTAAGGTACTAAAGTGACGTAATCCACACTGGATGCGTGAAAAACCAACTCAAAGACCACAAAAATTAAATTTATGGTCAGGTATAGTAGGTATTCAGTTAATTGGGCCATTTTTATCGAAGGAAATTTATACTTCATATAGTTACGAAATGTTACTTAGAAATGAAATTGTACCTACACTGATAAACTTTTTTGGTGCCAATTTTAATTAGATATGAGCCAGATGGAGCTCCAGCTCATTTTGGGGTAAATGTTCGGGGATATTTAGAAGAGATATTTCCAGGACGATGGATCGGTAGATCAGGTAGAATTGAATGGTCTCCACGTTCACCTGATTTCAATCCTAAAGATTATTTTTATTAGGGATACTTGAAAAATTCCAGTTTACAAAACTTAACCCGCAAGTCTTGCAGAACTAAGGCAACGAAAAATCAATGAATCTCGAATAAATTCTAGACAATCATGGAAAAATGTGGTAGACGCATTTCTACCATCGATTAGGGTACTGTCAACTCACAAATGGAGCACATTTTGAATACTTGATATAAAGTAACCATCGTGTTAAAAAATGTTGTAACCTATCAATTGTTATGTTTTAATCTAGTTAAAAATAGTAAGTATTGAAACAATTAGGCATTGCCAGACTTTATGTTTTATGTATTTAAAATCTTCCAAACTACATAAAATCATAAGTGTTACATATGGTTAAACTTGTATTGAATAGGAGATTCAAATAATGACTGAATATATAGGGTGATGAATTTGAGAAACCAAAGTTACTAATAATATAAGAGAAATGGCAAATCTGGCAACATTGCAAATATTAAATATGGAATCTCCGTATCCCAAAATAGGTGTACCGTAAATTTTGTACAATTATAACTAGCAATTTACGAGATAATTGGCCGTTTCCAGACTTTTGGGCCACTCTGTATTTCTTTACTAATAATAAACAGTACGTTCCTGCAATATATTTATTTTTAAATGTATGTTTATTACAAAAAAGGGATAAAGGTTCGTTAAATATCTCATAAATCTCTCCAACAATTGTTTTCTATCTACACATGCATGTAACCTGATCTGACAGCTGCATTATATAAATGTTTCCTTTATATAAAACCTTAATTGTTCTAAAAGGATTCTTAAGTCATAAATATCAAACTTCTTTGTCGGTATAATTATATTCTAACGGTCCAAGTTCTCATTACATCACGTGATATCTATGTACACACAATCGATGAGAGGAAACAGATGAGAGAAAAGAATAACCACCAATGATCCTTTAAGTTAAGGATGCAGTTAAAAAACTAGACAGAAACAAATCACCCGGAATAGATTCAGAATCTAGACATGATTTCACTTTAAAGAATAATTCTGTATTTATTAATTTTTCTTAATTTATTAATTATTAAAAAGAACAGCTTAGGCCAGAGACGAGTTTTGCTGTTAAGGTCGCGGCATATTATCATGCACGTATAGTTTCCGGTACGTAGCGTTTCCAGTCCAGCAATTGAACTGAACGTCCACATTTTCATACATAGAACGTTTCAGTTTGGTTCGTTGAAGATGCGATCTCGCATCACAAAATTATGTGCAATTGCTCTTCTAATTAACGATGAAGAAAGAAAAACTGTAGTAAAAAGAACGTTTGAAGTACATCCAATGCTAAGAGAAAGGAAAAAAGAAGGCGAATACTGGACTAGACATACAATTAATTGATGACGGTGAAAAATATTATGGATATTTTAGAATGAATAGGATTAAGTTTGAATATATTTTAAATTTAATTACACCTGTAGTAAAGAAACAAATACTACATTTAATGAAGCCATTCATATCAAACCAAAGAGTATTTAAAAAAAGAGGTATTACTTCCGTACAAAAGTCCTAATTGTTTATCACTTCCGTGAATAATTGTCACAAAGCAATGAAAACACATGCATAAATGACAAAATAACCTCGAAAATTATTTTTTTTTTTAAATATTCTGTATCAAAATTAAAACAAATACCTAAATAAACAGCTAGGAGAAAACGACGGACATCTAATTCACATTATCCGTACCAACCAGTTACGACTCGTTACGTACCTGTCGATGATGATATCACAGTAAAGAAATAGTTTGTGGTAAAATTTGAAAGAAGAGGAAAATAAAGAGCTATTTAAATACATACTCTTCAATACTGGCAACCTCTTTATCGAGGCTATCCGATGTCTCCAAATTTCCGGTGATAGTGTCGCCCGGTATCCAGCTTGCCTCTGTGACTTGGAGTTCTTTTTCTTCATCTGCTTTCAAACCTGTTTATACATTTTTACAAAATCATATTAAATATAAACACAAACTTACAATAAAATAAAAGCATCTAATGTAAAATGGTATATTTATTATTAAAAATTATCCAACAGAATAAAAAATTTCAGAAAGTTTTCGGTCATATCAGACCATCATCAGTGAAAACATTTTATCTATGTACTAGCCACACAGCAAGGTCAAATAAGCGTATGCAATGTTGTGACACGAAGTTGATGTTACATGATTTTACTTAAAGGGAACATACATATTCCTATTTGAAACAAGGACATTAGAGTCCTACAGAGTTTACCAGACAACTGATAATTGGCTACAATGACTGTTGGACAACATCCACTAAGATCTCCAAATCTTAATGATCCACTGGAAAACAAATTGATGGAAGACCGAGTTTTTGGAAAAATGTTGTACAGTTAGCCAAGACCCACCCAGGATTGTAGCGATACATAATGTTAACGATCATGATCTTGTGCTCATAGATATCGAAAAACTCTAAGATACAGTAAATTTAAAATCTTTATTTTGAATTTTAACGAGAACAGACTTAAGGAAAACCACAGATTGTCACTTGTGTTGTTAAGATGAAAACTACTTTTTCAGAACCGTTTCGGTTGGTAACAAAGGGCTTAAACAGGGATGGTGCAAGTCCAATACTTTATTTATAATCTGTATTCAAGAAGCAGTACAAAAACTAACACAAACATGTTCAGGTATGGGAATCAAAGTTGGCGAAAGCTTTATACTTGTATCCTTTTTTATATTATTTATACTATATATAGCTGAGCTAGCAGTGTTAGCTTATTACACTATGTCACCTTTTATATGTCAACATATAATTTTTTTGGGATGTAAGGGACTGTGATGCGCAATATATAGCCTCCTGTCAAAATGTCAACCTCACCTGCCCGTGTGATGATCTTGATTCTGATCATCCGGTGCATCCTGCTTTACAACAAACGAGGCTCTGGCGCCCGAGCGATTGTCGGTATAAGCAATCCCCCTCTTACTGACCAACGGCTTCGGGCGGACGAGTTGGTAAGTGGCAGGGCACTCTTTTGTCCTGGAATTGAGAAATTGATTCCGAAGGCGGAAGAACTATAAAACTACAAATTAGTCAACGGCATAAGGATGCAGAAAGCAAAGGAGAACTACTGCATTAAAGGCCTTGTGGCACTCCTAGTTTTAACTATCATTGCTGTAAATAATTTAAGTCAAAACATTAATGATCATGGATCTCGGAATCCAAGATCCGGCAAGAGAGGACAATCTCAAGACTGCAGGGCCTCTCAGGTCGTTAATATGCGAAATCCTTGCAAAATAGCAACATGGAACGTCAGAAGCATGTTTGAGTCAGGTAAAATATATAATGCCATAAAAGAAATGAAAAGAATGCAAATCAGCATCCTCGGAATAAGCGAAATGCGATGGCCGGGATCAGGAGTATGTGACGTAGATGGATATCAAGTGTACCATGCCGGAAATACAGATGCCAATCACTATAATGAAGTTGCAATCGCAGTAGCAAAACACTTAGCTCAATCAGTTTTAACTTATATTCCCATATCTGACAGAGTAATGCTAGTAAAATTTAGTTCAAAGCCGTTCATTACCAACGTAATTCAGGTCTATGCCCCAACATCATCTAGTGATGAAGATAAATTAGAAGCATTCTACAAAGATCTTACTGATGCTCTAGATCTTGTCAAAGCAGCAGAAAATACCATAGTCCTCGGAGATTTTAACGCTAAAGTCGGCAAAGGACGCTGTTTGAACATTGTGGGGGAATATGGCTTGGGAAACAGAAACGAACGTGGAGATCGACTTGACCAGTTCTGTCGAGAACACGATTTCATTATATCGAATACCCATTTTAAACTACCACCGAGAAGACTCTACACCTGGAAGTCAAATGCAGAATCAGAGGACAAAATTATTAGGAATCAAATCGACTTCATTCTAATAAAAAATCGATTTAGAAACTGCATCAAATCAGTTAAAACTTATCCAGGTGCTGACATTGGGTCCGATCACAATCCCATAGTAGCTGTAACGCAATTAAAATTAAAAAAGGTGATCAAAAGAAGTCTCGCAAAAAGATTGATACAGCCCAACTACAAGACGAGAAAGTTAAGGAATCAGTTCAAAGACAACTGAACGAAAATTTAATTTGGGAAAATATTGGTGAAAACGTCGATGAGGGCTTAAATAAAATCGTAACGACAGTAAAAGAAATCTGTGTGAGAAATTTACAAGGCAGGTCAAAGTCAAAAATGCAGGCTTGGATGACAGATGATATACTGGATTTGATGGAACAACGGCGACTAGCAAAAACCAACGAAACACTTTACAATAGCATACAAAAAGAAATTCGACGCAAAATACGAGAAGCAAAGAGTCAACATCTAGCCAAACAGTGATCATGACATTGAAGAACTCGAAAAAAGATACGACACGTTTAACATGTATAAAAAAGTAAAAGAAGCGGCTGGTATCTTCAATAAGAAACAAAATGCATTGCTACAACATGAAAATGGTAAAGTAATATTCGAAGTAGAGGACAAACTTAAAGAATGGGAAAATTACGTCACGAACCTATTCGAAGACGATAGGAGTAGTTCACCTCCCGATATTACTAACTGCGACGGACCCCTAATAACACGCTGTGAGGTTATAAAGACCATACAATCATCAAAAGATGGCAGAGCGACTGGTCCTGACGAAATTTCAACTGAAATATATAAGCTTATAAAGGACAGCAATGCTTTAGAGGCTATAACTTCGTTTTTCAATACCATTTATACCAGCGGACAACTACCTAATGGTTGGTCTAACTCACTGTTTATAGCTCTACCTAAGAAGACAACAGCAAAAACCTGTGCTGATTAAAGAACCATCAGTTTGTTAAACCACTTATTGAAAATTTTTCTGAAGGTAATACATGGTCGTATCTACAATAAATGTGAGGAATACCTGGATGACACTCAGTTTGGTTTCCGTAACGGATTTGGAACGAGAGAGGCACTGTTTGGAATGAACGTACTTGCTCAAAGATGTCGTGATATATCTGTAGACATATACTGTTGTTTTATTGACTTTCAAAAGGCATTTGATCGTGTTAAGCACCCTATATTGATCGAAGCTCTAAAAGACATTGGCTTGGGCGGCAGAGATGTTCGAATAATTGCAAATTTATATTGGAATTAAACATCAGTTTTAGTAGATGGTGTGGAATCACAAGCTCTCAATATTAAAAGAGGAGTACGGCAGGGATGCCTCTTGTCACCCCTGCTTTTTAACGTTTACTCCGAAAGAATTTTCAGAAAAGCACTTTCTGAAAAACAAGAAGGAATACTTGTGAACGGCGAAGACATCAATAATTTGCGATATGCGGACGATACAGTACTCCTAGCTTCTAGTCAAGAAGATCTGCAAACACTACTTGATAGTGTCGTTGAGAGTTGTAGGGAAGCAGGTCTGGATCTTAACATAAGGAAAACCAAAATACCTACTTGTAATAAGTAAACAACAGAATATAAAACCGTCTATATATGTAAATAATACCAAACTTGAGCAAGTTGATAAAATCGTCTACCTTGGACAGCAATTAAATTGTAATGCAGAAAATCACGGCGAAATTAGATCCAGAATAGAGCAGGCTAGAGCTGCTTTTAGAAGGATGTCCAAGGTGTTATGTAACAGAGACCTAAAATTGGCATTAAGGATCCGCCTACTTCGCTGCTACGTGTTCTCGGTCTTACTTTATGCTGTCGAGTCCTGGACTGTGTAAAATCGATCTAAATCGCCTTGAGGCTTTCGAAATGTGGTGCTATAGAAGAATTTTGAAAGTTTCCTGGGTGGAGAAGATTCGTAACTCCACAATACTTGAACGTCTCAGCAAGACCACTGAGATCATAAAAAGCATCAAGGAGAGAAAGCTGGAATATTTCGGACATGTAATGAGAGGTCCCAAACATAGATTGCTACAAAATATCATGCAAGGAAAAATAGCAGGCAAACGCAGTCCAGGACGAAGAAGAACCTCATGGTTGAAGAACTTGCGAGATTGGTATGGTGTAGATACAAGCATGCTATTTAGGGTGGCAGTGAATAAAATTAAAATAGCTATGATGGTAACCAACGTTCTGAAAGGACATGGTACATGAAGAAAAAGAATATAATTTTTTAGACCTAAATTTACACCTGTTTGAGATGTGCTAAATAGAAATTGTCATACATAAAATATAGTATGCAATACATTTACCATATATTAATGTTTATATATATATATATATATATATATATATATATATATATATATATATATATATTGTTATAGTATTCAAAATTGAAGAGTAAAAATATTAAATGTACGATGGAATCAATATGTCAGAGATTATAGAAAGTCAAAATACTCTGAACTGCCTGGAATTAACCAAAGGTAATATTAGTCATAAATAATCTTTTGTATAAATATAACAAGTGGATAGTGCGGGTACAATGAATAGAAGTTAACGATGGTTTTTCCCATAAGCCATAAAGTGTTCCGTAATCCGGGTTTGCGCCATGAAAAGGACAATAAAAATAGTTAATAAGTAAATGGTTTTGCCACAGTCCAGTGGCAAATGTTTTTCAGCCAAGATATTTGTCTACTACCAGGACCCCTTTTTCCTTCCATTTTACCCTTTATGATCAGCTGCAACAACTCGGACTTATCATTTCTAAGTATGTGCCCCAAATATGCTGTCTTTCGTCTTTAAATGGTGGTCAAAAGTTCTCTGTCTCTTCCCATTCTGTGTAACACCATTTCGTTCGTAATATGATCGGTCCATGGTATCTTCCAAATTCTCCTCAAAAGCCACATCTCAAAAGCTGAAGATTAAATCTTTGGTTACTCAGAAATTTCCTTATCTTTAAAAACGCTGCTCTTGATTGCTCTATTCTTGAGCGAATTTCTGATTTCGGATTCAGATCTTCCGTAATCCAGATTCATAAGTATTTTATTTTGTCCACTTGCTCAATATCTTCATTTTTTATCTGGATCCTTGTAATGACTTTACTCCTCTCACTGATAACAATGGTTTTTGTTTTTTTATGTTTATTGTTAAACCGACCTGTTCCCCAGTATCACAAATTGTGTTTAGTAACGTTTGCAGGTCTGTCTCACTTTCAGTGATAATGACCGTATCGTCAGCATAACGGATGTTATTTATATTTTCACCATTTATCTTGATCCATTATGTACAGTTTTCAAGTGCTTGCGTAAATAACTCTTCGGAATATATATTAAATAGTAATGGTGAAAGTACACAGCCCTGTCTCACTCATCTACTTATCTGTTGCGCATCCGTGCTATTTCCATCTAATGTTACCACAGGCTGTTGGTTCCAATAGAGATTCCTCACTATGTTAATGTCATTTTTGTCGAGTCCTTTTATCATTAGACATTCCGTGTTAATATCTAATAGCGTTAATAAAGCTACAAAAATGCTGAAAACACTTACGCTATAAAGTGTCTTTAAATTAACACATCAAAGAACAAATTTATGTCCAATCTTGTAACATATAAGACAAAATTTAAATTGAAAGTCATAGCGTCGACTAAATATCTTACAAATACCTACATGAGATTGGCTTAGAGCAAGGTAATCAGACCACTGAAATACAAAAAACTATATGTTCCACAAGGGGGGGGCCTTTGGCACATTAACAACATAACAATGTTGGGCATTGTCATCAGTGATAAAGTATCTTCTAAACCTAGAAATACGAAGAAGAACAAGGAGTATGGATGCAGTTAACAGAATAGCCATATCTAAGATAAGCAGAGGATTCCCGCCGAATAGATGGACGGATTATATTAAGGACATTACCACGAACTGGATGCAATAGGCTCAAGATAGAAATAAGTGGAAAAGTTTACAAAAGGCCTACGTTCAGCAGTGGTAAAATATAGGCTAGCTGATATTAATATTGATGATGAAAACGAGGACTTTCCAAGTTATATTTGTAATACTTACTTTCCATTAGTTTTTTCTGGTGTTCTGACCGAACTTGCTCGATTATCTTTTTCTCTTCATCCCCAATTGAGTGTTGCTTATGATAATCCTACAAAATAACATGATTTGGTAAAATTGAATGTCGTTGGTATATCTTGGAAGAGCAGTTTGTTCAGCAGTATCTTAGGATAGTGATTTTTTTAAGAATCTCATAAAGTAACTTTATTAATTGCTATTTAACTGGGAATAAGCCACAATTAGAGATAAAAATACGTTTATTGACGTTTCAATTTCCACTTCGGAAATTTTCGAAATGGAAATTAAAACGTCAATAAACGTATTTTTATCTCTAATTGTGGCTTATTCCCAGTTAAATAGTAATTAATTTACAATGCCACAAGAAAATAGCTTCAGAACAATATTAAGTAACTTAATGTTCTTATTGTAGTTAGAAGGGTGACAAATTATTTTTATTTTGTTTTTCAGACCTTTGATGATGTTAATCTTCGGTTTATCTGGATGGTAAGACTGAAAAGGCACGTTCATCACTCTTATCATCCGGATGAACAGAAGATTAACATCAACAAAGGTCTGAATAACAGAATAAAAAGAATTCGTCACGCGCGACGATATTACAAGCAAAATTCCAAATCTTAAGATAATAGTGGAAAGCTGCTCACGGTATACAGCAAGACAAGCATTTATAAAAATGAAAATATTGTTTCTCAATCGAGACCTTTCTCTGGAGCTGAGGATAAGAGCTTTAAGATGCTACGTGTTGATGACGTTTAAGATGTTTAAAAAACAGGAGATAAAGTGGTGATAATAAAGTTTAGTATTGGCTTATTCCTTTGGTTACTACAACCATCTAGCTGCAATCCAAGAACAGTAGATTCAGCAATCTTTACTTTAATATTTGTATCGATACTTTCATGCTCTGCATCTAGCAACTTGTTTAAAAGTAAACACCGTGTTGGCATTTGAAAAGAAGGACTTAATTTTTTGAAAAACAATTGGCAGTGTTTATTTTCGACAATTGCAAATGGCGTCCCTTTTGCATAAGTAGCTCTAGCGAAAAGCTGATCTAAATTTTCTTTGTCCACTTTAGATGGTGAGTCAACAAAACTACGCAGTGTGGACTGTGTGGACATGAAACTGGAGCTCTAGACACTAACAGTACTCCTTGTGTCTATGTCATCACATTGCTTATCTATAAACAAAAACTATATTTTTTAATCAACAGTTCAAAAATACATTTTTATATTTTTTAAATAATAACATTCGGACATCCTTTTTTATAAAACAGCCTACGCATCAGTCTAGAATATTGTACGTTTTATAGGTTTATTTGTTATATTTATCCACTTTTGGAATACCTACCCTATAGAACAACAAGTCGTATAAGGTCTGGTAATTACAAAATAATCTTACCTAAATTTTTTAATTTTTAGGTAAAATATGAAAATAATATTATAATGGTGTCTCATTATCAATTATAATATCATAGAATGTTTTGAAGCAGGCCAAGGCTCACGAAGGGGCGTGTATGTTTATTATGTTAGTTTATCTCAATTTAAGTAATATCCTGTATAAACTGAATTAACATAAAAATATTACAAAAAAAGTTCAGTAAAAATATTATTAACTTCCAAACCCCTAAACAAAAAAATATAAATTTGTTTTTAGTTGCATTTTTATTTTATTAAATATTAATAAGAAACCATTTTAAATACTTTATTTTATATATTTTTTCACTTACCTTCATTGGACATACCTATACTGTGTTGGCTGAAAAGCAGTTGATGAACTTTTCTTTTGATCCTTTTTCAAATAATTGTCTCGCTCTTCAACGGTTATTTAACACATTTATACTACATGTTTTGTAATTCTACCCATTTCTGTCGTATTTTTCACGTATTACAAAATTTTCAAAAGTACATTGTTTTACCTTGTACACTTTTAATTTTAAAGGAATTCCAAATATTAGTTTTAGGTTTTGTAGTTAAATTTTGCTTTAACTTTGATCTATTCTAAATATTTGCACGTTAATATAGCACCAAAACAATAAATACTGATACTGTAAACACCTGGCTAGTGGTTAGTGGGATTCCCCGCTACTTCGGAATTTTATCTAAAATCGCGTCAGTGAATCTCCAGCCGACCAAAGCGAAAAAGCATTTTTATGAGCGGAGCTAAAGTAGGTATGTACTATTTGGTAGTACTAATATTTGGGATTTAAAAAATATACTAAATGAATTGGCAAAAACAATATACCTACATTTTTTTAATTATATTAATTTGACCCATATCTACCTAGTTTGTTTTGGTTTTGTCTTCTTCTTCTTCTTCTTCGTGCGACTATGATGTACTTTCAACAATTTAAAATTAAAAGTTGCTTGTCACATAAAATATGTAAAACAACAAAAATGGCGGAAAATGTTTTCAAAACAAAAGATCAACTTCGTGATGCTTCGTAAGAAATCATGAACTTCGTGCATATTCGTATCAAAACAATAAATAATAAACAAAGGTATTCATGTTGCGGACACTTTTTAAACCCCGATATCTAATTTTGTTGCTTCTCAGGACAACATCATTTTTTATAAGCATTTAAGTCAGTTTTCTATTATATATAGCTGTTATGTAACAATGGTAACTATAAGCAACAAATCGTGTTAGTTATATAAAATTTGGTGGCGACATCTATCATTTTATGTAGATATTTGAAAAAATAATTTGATTACATAGGATATCAGTAGAGGTCTACGTGTAAGTAGGTGGGTCATAATTTTTATTGCCAAACTTTTTCTAGGAGAACTCTGAGCTTAGTCTTGTACTTCGTATATAAGCATAAGTTGTTTTATTGTAATTTTGTGCTATTTTTCCTGTATACGGTAAGTAATCATATTATTTTGTCAAATAAAAATCATGTAGCTCTCAGGCAACATTGTCAGTTAAGTAATTGAGTTTTTTTTTTCGGGATACTTCGTGAATTATTTGATTCCTCACTACATTGAATTACAATTGGCTGAGCGAGTCTCCTTGGCAGATTCCTCCTTTTTAGTTCTATACATTTTGTTTTTCCTGTTGGCTCTGGTCTTGTTGTTCTTGTTAATTTCATTAATTTTCCTATTATCTGATGGTCTATTTGTTCAGCTTGTAATAAATTTAAGATGTCATTTCGCTTCACCCTGTCAAAAGCACGTTTTTAAATCTACAAAGCACATGTATGCTGGTTTTTCCATATTCAATAGACTCTCTATTATTTGTCTGATAATAAAAATTGCGTCTATTGTGCTGCGGTTCTTCCAGAAGCCTTGTTGTTCATATGCCATGTTCGCTTTTCCTCGATTTTATCTTTTATACTGCGTTAACAATTTTGCCTCTTTAAGACTAATGCCTCTATAATTTTCAGGATTTCTCGAGTTTCCCTTTTAAGTATCGGTAGCAGGAGACTTTTCTTTCATTCCGCTGGTACTACTCCGGTATTTATTATATCGACGAATAATTTTAGGAGCCATTTGCGTAGTGTTCTTCCTCCATATTTTAGCAGTTCATTGTTTATCTTATCAGGACCAGGTGCTTTTCTGTTTTTTAATTTTTTTATTCGTTCTTGTAGCTCTTCTTCTGATATTAGTACTCTATCGTGGGTTTCGTTAATGATTATTTCTCTGTTCTCTTCCTCTTCTTCTTCATATAATTTCGTGAAATGCTCAGTCCATTGTTCCTCCGTAATGTTATCTATGCGTACAAATTCATTCATTTCTGTTTTTTTGTCTCCTTATCATCTTCCACACCTTTTTCTGGGATCCATAGAGGTCGTATTCCATATCTTTGGTAAATTTCTTCCCAGTGTTCTTTTTTGATGTTATCTATTTCTTGGTTTACTCTATTCCTGATTCTCACGTAGTCTTCTCGTGCCTCCGGAGTCTTCACTCCTTTGTATGTTAGGAAAGCTTGTTTCTTTTCATTTGCTAGTGCTTTCACCTTTCATCGTACCATGGAGTTTTGTATTCCCGTTAATTTCTGTTAACTTTTCTTTTACCTAAAGCTTCTTCCGCTGCTTGTAGGATACATTTTTTAATAATTTTGCAGGTTTCTTCTATATTCTTTTTAGTCTCTAGGTTATGGCAATTTAGCTTTTCTGTTAGTCTGTTTCTATACAAGTTTTGTGTCCTTCTTCTTTTAAGCTTTCTATGTTTAACTTTTTTTCTACTTTTGTATTTCGCTTGCCTTGTGTGGTGATTATTATATTTATTTTTCTAGTATCAGGCCATGGTCGGATCCTTAATTCGCGGAAGATAGACGTGCGCACATCTATTATATTCTTTGGGTGTATTTGTCTGTTTGTTATAATGTACTCAATCATAGAGTTACGTCCTCTTGTATCTGACCAGGTGATCTTATGTTGTATTGGGTGGTCAAAGTATGTGTTGTTTATTCGGAGGTTATTCATTAAACTAGGCTTTTGTAAATATAGAAAATTCTCGCCGAAAAATTTCTGGCCGAGAATATTTTCGACGAGAATTTTCTGGCCGAGAATATTCTCTTCTTACATCACTAGATACGAATAACGATATCATTTAATTCACATCACATTGTGAACTAAACTACTACACATCTAGATCTTTAACACTAGGAAGTCCGAAGGGCCAATTTGGCCCCTGTTTCTATTTGAAAATATTGCTAAATTTTTATTTACTGAAAATATTTTTTAAATTTTATTATATAAAAACTCGTATTTGTCATCATAAATTACTAACTTAAAAAAATAATTGGTTTTAGTAACACAACTACTGTACAGGTCCGAAGGGGTCAGATTGGCCCTGAACTTGCTTTTATGGTTTTTTAGAAAAGTAAGTATGGTTTTCGTTGTTCTAATTTCGTGCCCCCACCTGCGGTTAAATAGATGAAACTATATTTAGATCTGTTTCCAGAAGATCAGTTATGTTATGACAAGCAGTTTGGTTACAACACCTAGTTTTCTTACAATTTTTTCTTTGTAATATGTTGACGTTACCATTTTTTTTCTAAGGAAGAAAGGCTTAAAGGTGTTGTAGAAAATATAAACATAAAGGTATTTATCAGAAGATAAAGAAACTCATCATT